CGAAGGGAGGCAGGGGCTGCAGCTGCAGCTCCTGCTCGAGTACGTGAGGAACAGGCTATTTTGGGCCTGTTCCGCATCCCTGTTTCCGTGCCTGAGTCTTAGGAGCAGGTCGAAACAAYGAGGGCCTGAAAATGGCCCTCCGTTTCAGGCTGAAAACTTTGGGTCTGAAAAGACCCAGAAATAGGCTGAAATGAGGTAGGGCCTGCAGGCCCTCGTTTTTTCAGCATCCAGGCTGAAATGAACGGGGCCTGTAAGCCCTAAGTCTTAGGCTTTTAGGCTGAATGTCCGGGATGGGCCCTGTAGGGCCCGTGTGGCTACGCAGTATGCCACACCTGCTTACGGGGCTTTCCGCAATTTTATACCATCATATAATTTTCCTGATCTGGCCTACCGTCTTCACCCGAATAGAACGCCCGGTCATTATAGCTGCATTTGGCCCAACTTTCAGTCCAGATGCTGCGATAATGACCGGGCGTTCTATCTGGGTGAAAACAGTAGCTCAGTTGTTGTTACACCCAGGAACTGTTGAAATACGGACCCGAGTTCGAATCCATATGCAATCAGATGAGTGAGAAAAACTCTCATCTCCACTTGTTTTTTCTTTTTTTTTCTTTTTTTGATATGGTCAGAGGAGGGAGAACTGAATAGCAAGATCCTGCGGGCAAGCGAATTATAGTGAAAGGATAAATCACGCGCACGCTGCTGCGGCCGTGAGGCGGACCTCTCGAATAGGGAGATTCACACGGTATCTGGTAGGTTGAAATGCCCTGCAAAATTTGCCAAACATGGTCACTCCCGCAGTCCAGCGGGAGAGCCACCGCACCTCTCCTCCTCGCACCTCTCTCACCGAGGAGAGGTGCAGCTTTGTTTCTCCGTTGCTTGGGTCCGGTTTTCTGTTTGGGGTTTAGGGTTTAGGGTTAGCGGTTGAACTGCCGAGGCGAGGGGTCTGCAGGACCGACGTCTGTTGCCAGGACTCGGTGCGCTGTCGGGCTTGGGTAATAAGAGCAGTGAAACTTGTGAGGGGGTGAGGGCCATGCTGGACCTAGTACGGTGTGCTTGTGCAATTGGCAGGAGGAACTGGTGAGGGGATGTGGTGAAAAACTGACCAGGTCCTACGGATTGGTATAGCTCCCACGAACGAGATGACACCAGCGGGTCTAGCTCAGTTGGTGGTACACCAATGAACTGTTGAAATACGGACCCGAGTTCGAATTCAGATGCCATCAGGTGAGAAGAACAAAATGATTCAAAAGAGATCACAATTGGCATTGGTGTGGGGTAGGCAGTGGAACTGGTGGGGTGAGAAGTCGACTCGGGACTTACGATGCTTTTGTCCTCTTCGCCTAACAAGAGCAAATTCTTTTGGCGGGAGGGGGCCCATCAGCATGTGCCGCTTCTGTGCTCACCTGTTGACCAAGAAGGCTGGTGGTGGGCAGTAGGCTGTAGCCTGTGATGGTCTGATATTTGAGGGGTGGCCAAAGTCGCGCCCCGAGGTGCTCGGTGTTCAATTCTGGCTGCATTCACTTGACATGGTACTCAGGTGAGTATGAGACTCCAGCTATGTGTAATGTGCTGTCCCGTGTTGCGGCGTTACAGGTTGCAACAGGTCCCATGTGGGACAGCCTGACAGTAGGGGTCCGCATGTCACTCAGGACCCAGGGGGGGAAGGGG